CCATCTCCAAAAACCTCAGGAGACCATGGGATCACCATCCTGTTCTACCATGGAATGACCCTACAATAACAAACCAGTCCATGCACAGAGGGGAGGGAAAAAAAATCCCCAAATCCTTTGGATTTTGTGTCTTTGTGGGCACCAGAGCAGGTGCAGGAGCTCAAATCCTCCAGCCAAACCAGAAACCATGGAGACCATGGGATCCCCATCCCCTCCTGCCATGGATTCCCCTCACAGTAACAAACCAGTCCATGCAAGAGGGGAGGGAAAAAAATCCTCAAATCCTTCGGATTTTGTGTCTTTGTGGGCACCAGAGCAGGTGCAGGAGCAGAAATCCTCCAGCCAGACCAGCTCCATGGAGACCATGGGATCCCCATCCCCTCCTGCCATGGAATCACCCACAGTACCCAGCCCCTCCATGCACAGAGGGGAGGGAAAAGGCAAAATCCTCTGGATTTTGTGCTCTGGGAAGCTGTGGAGCAGGTGCAGGAGCACAGAGCCAGCACCCAAACCCTCTGCCCACCTCTGGAGAGGGCACGGAAGGATGTGGGACCATGGCACCCTGCCCCTCCCTGCTGAGGGAGAGCTGCTCCTGATTCCAGCTGCGAGCTCGTTAGGGAGGCAATTAAAAGCTGGGCTGGCTGTTAATGACAGCAGGGTGAAGAATTCTCCAGGGCATGGGGGTCACGGGCCTCCTCATCCCCCTGAGCTCAATTCCAGCGGCTCCAAAGGGAGGAGGAGCAGCAGGAGGGAGCAGTGGCACCCCAAAACTCAGCTCCCCTTCCTGGGGCACTTCCCAAAGCAGCACCAGCCCCACCAGGAGGGATCCGGCCCTTTCCTCATTCCCAAAAATTGCAGATTCCGCAGTGGGCGCCACCCACAAAATACAGGAAAACGGGCAAAGAGCAAGCGAGAATTACAAAGATCCTCGAAGCCTAAGAAGTGCAAACAGTCATTAAAAAAATTAAAGCCATTATAAAGGAGTGGTTTTTTGGGAAAGCAAGCCAGAGGAGCTCGGGAGCCACCAGGACGTGGAGCGGGAATTCCGGGGGTTTGCTGCGGGATGGAGGCAGCGCCAGGAAGGATTAAAATTGGGAATTGCTCATTTTCCAGCGTGCAGGACGGGGTCAGGCACGGGCCAAGGGCAGGTGCACACCGAGAACCCGCAGAGCCAAGCCTGGCCTCAGGGGCGCGGGGGCTCCCAGCCCAAATTCCCCCGGGAACGTCCCACCGGGATCCTGCAGCGCCCAGCCCCGCAGCTTTGGGGCTGCTTGGGGCTTCGGGGCAGTTTTGGGGTTTTGGACAGCCAGGAGCTGTGAGATTGGGGCAGTTTTGGGGCAGTTTTAGGGTTTTGGACAGCCAGAAACTGTGGGATTGGGGCAGTTTTGAGATTTTGGGGCAGTTTTAGGGTTTTGGGGCAGTTTTGGACAGCCAGGAGCTGTGAGACTGGGGCACTTTTGGGGCAGTTTTAGGGTTTTGGACAGCCAGAAACTGTGGGATTGGGGCAGTTTTTGGGGTTCTGGGGCAGTTTTGGGGTTTTGCGGCAATTTTGGGGTTTTGGGGCAGTTTTGGGGTTTTGGACAGCCAGGAGCCATGAGCTTGAGGCCGTTTTGGGATTTTGGGGCAGTTTTAGGTTTTGGACAGCCAGGAGCCATGAGCTTGAGGCCGTTTTGGGATTTTGGGGCAGTTTTAGGTTTTGGACAGCCAGGAGCCATGAGATTGAGGCCGTTTTGGGGCAATTTTAGGTTTTAGACAGCCAGGAGCCAAGAGATTCAGGCAGTTTTGGGATTTTGGGGCAGTTTTAGGTTTTGGACAGCCAGGAGCTGTGAGCTTGAGGCCGTTTCAGGATTTTGGGGCAGTTTTAGGTTTTGGACAGCCAGGAGCTGTGAGCTTGAAGCCATTTCAGGATTTTGGGGCAGTTTTAGGTTTTGGACAGCCAGGAGCCGTGAGCTTGAAGCCATTTCAGGATTTTGGGATGGCTGGGGACTGGGAGCCGCCCTGCCTGCCCCCCTGAGCGCAGGGTTGCCTCTGGACATGGTAAATGATAGGAATAAAAGGGGAATACACACGGTGAGAGGCAGATTGGGAAGTCCACGTACCCCGATGATAGCATTCAACTCCGTCATTGTCACCTGCTTGGCACGCTCAACAGCCTGGGCCACCTGCTGTTGGTGCTGTGGGGACACGGGGCCGGGGTCACCCACAGCCCCCCTGCTCTTGGGCCCTATTTTACCTGGGTTTCCCTGGTTTTTCCCCCTATTTCGTGTGCAGCTCCTCAGGGCAGCCCCTCGCAGCTTTTCTGGGCTCAGGGCAGCCCCCCAAGCTGAGCAGAACCCCAGCAGGGCCCAGCCCTGCCCATCCCAAGGGTTTTCCAGCACTGGGGCAGGATTTAAATCCCATTTCTCACATCCCCCTGCCCCCAACCAGGGACCCAGCACTGCCTGCGAGGGAGGGGAGAGCCCTGGGAGAAGCCCCAGAGCCTCCAAGAGGGTGGGGAGAAGTCCTTACCTCTTGTGACAGAAAAGGCATGATCTGGGCTAAAATGGTGTTGAGTCTTTTAGCAATTTCTGTCTGCAAAAAGGGAAGAAGGAAAAGCAGCAGTCAGCACCCGGCAGCCTCCCACGGCTGGCACGAGACTTCCCGGCAGCAGCGCCGTGTCCCCTCCCTGTCCCTCCAAAAAATGCCCTCTCTGTCCCCCAAAAATCCCCTCCCTGTCCCCTCCCAAAATCCCCTTCCTGTCCCCGCAAATCCCCTTCCTGTTCCCCCAAATCCCCTCCCTGTCCCTCCAAAAAATCCCCTCTGTCCCCCCAAAAAATCCCCTTCCTGTCCCCCCAAATCCCCTCTCTGTCCCATCTCCCTGTCGTTTCCCCAAATCCCCTCTTGTCCTCCCAAAATCCCCTCCCAAAATCCCCTCCATGTCCCCCAAAAAAATCCCCTTCCTGTCCCCCCCAAAATCTCCTCCCTGTCCCATCTCCCTGTCATTTCCCCAAATCCCCTTGTCCCTCCAAAATCCCCTCTTATCCCCCCAAAAAATCCCCTCCCTGTCCCCTTCCCAAAATCCCCTTCCTGTCCCTCCAAATCCCCTCTGTCCCCTCCCAAAATCCCCTTCCTGTCCCCCCCAAAAATTCCCTTCCTGTCCCTTCCCAAAATCCCCTGTCCCATCTCCCTTATCCTTTCCCAAAATCCCGTCTCTGTTTCCTCTCACTGTCCCCTCCCAAACTCTCTGCACTGTCCCATCTCCTTGTCCTTTCCCAAAATCTCCTCTCCCTATCCCTTCCCAAAATCCCCTCACTGTTCCTCTCCCTGTCCTTTCCCAAAATCTCCTCTCCCTGTCCTTTCCCAAAATCTCCTCTCTCTGTCCCCTCTCCATGTCCCTTCCCAAAATCTCCTCTCTGTCCCCTCTCCATGTCCCTTCCCAAAATCTCCTGCCCCCTCCCCCTGTCCCTTCCCAAAATCCCATCACTGTTGCCTCTGTCCTTTCCCAAAATCTCCTCTCCCTGTCCCCTCCCAAAATCCCCTCACTGTTGCCTCTGTCCTTCCCCAAAATCCTCTCCCGAGATGTTCCTGGTGGGATGGCCCACAGCTCAGCTCCCCGGACACGTCCTGCAGCACCTCTGCGTTTAAACCCAGCCAGAGCAAAGGGGGCCTCGGAGGAGATCCCCAGAGATCCTCATTTGGAGGAGAAATCCCAAAGGACACGCAGCCCTTGCTGCTCCTGCTGCACAAACCACCCAGCAGCACCACAGGCAAGGAGACGCCGGGAAAATCCCGACCTGCCCCGGATCCTGGAGTCACCCCCGTGGAGGGAACCACCCCCAGAGCCCAGAGCTGCTCCAAGGGCTCCCCACAGAACCCCCCGTGGGCTGCAGAGGCACAGGAACGCTCCTGGCCACCTTCTCCAGAAGCACTCCCGGTGATTGGGTTACACCTGATGCTTTTCTTAGCAATTCCAGAGGCAGGGAACGTGCTGGCACAGCGTGCCAAGGCAGGGAGGGCTGGAAGCCACCACAGCGTGCACTCGGCTACCCTGGGCACAGCCACCAAGCCACCGGGATCATCGGGTCCCGGGCGTGAGGATGCACAGATCCAGCAGGCACGCAGGGGAACCATGGAATCCTGGAATGGTTTGCTTGGAAGGGACTTCAAAGCTCGCCCAGCTCCCCTCCCTGCACCTTTCTAGGAGGCCAGGCTGCTCCAAGCTGCCTTTGGACATTCCAGGAACGGGGCAGGCACAGCCCCAGCCCCTTCCCAGTGTCCCAGGGGAAGCCACTCCTGTGTCCCACCACTGCAGGGACGCTCTGCCACGCTGCTCCCTGTCCCAGCAGGCGTTTTCGGCCCCCAACACCCCCACGGCACCCAGCTGGAAGCTCCAAGGGCCCAGCCCGGCCCAGCCCCACGGCGGCCGGGCTGGCACCGTGAGTGCCGCCAGCCCCCGTGGTGCCACCGCCCTGGCAGGGCACGGGAAAAGCTCCCTGCAGGATCTCTGGCACTTGGATCACATTGTATTTACTGCAGCTCCATTAGGGATTTATTCCTCCAGCTCCAGCTGCTGGATGTACTGCTCCAGGAGCTCTGCCCAGGCAGCTTCCAGCTCCAGGAGCTCCAGGAGCTCTGCCCTGGCAATTCCCTGCTCCAGGAGCTCTGCCCAGGCAGCTTCCAGCTCCAGGAGCTCTGTCCTGCAGTTCCCTGCTCCAGGAGCTCCAGGAGCTCTGTCCCAGCAGCTTCCAGCTCCAGGAGCTCTGTCCTGGCAGTTCCCTGCTCCAGGAGCTCTGTCCTGGCAGTTCCCTGCTCCAGGAGCTCTGTCCTGCAGTTCCCTACTCCAGGAGCTCCAGGAGCTCTGTCCTGGCAGTTCCCTGCTCCAGGAGCTCTGTCCTGGCAGTTCCCTGCTCCAGGAGCTCTGTCCTGCAGTTCCCTGCTCCAGGAGCTCTGTCCCAGCAGCTTCCAGCTCCAGGAACTCTGCCCTGCTCCCTGCTCCAGGAGCTCTGTCCTGGCAGTTCCCTGCTCCAGGAGCTCCAGGAGCTCTGTCCTGGCAGTTCCCTGCTCCAGGAGCTCCAGGAGCTCTGTCCTGGCAGTTCCCTGCTCCAGGACAAACCTGAGCCAGGTTTGAGGCAGAACAGCAGCAGCTTCCCTGGGCTGCATCCTGGAAAAACATCCAGCTGGGCCGATTCCATGGAGCAGGAAGGGTTCTCCACGGAGCAGGAAGGGTTCTCCACGGAGCAGGAAGGGTTCTCCACGGAGCAGGAAAGGGTTCTCCACGGACAGCCCTGACCTGACCAGCAGCACACGTGGTGCTCCCACCTTTAAATGCAAAAACTCCCAAGCCAGACGTGAAGCCAAACTCCCCGTCCCACACAGAAAGAGACTTCCCATGTGGGGATCCGGCGAGCACGGAGATATTGGATGTCCAAAATATTATGTTTACAACCATGAGGCTTCCTGCGAGCACGAGACTCAGTCTTCAAATATTTGCTCGCTTTTCCCATTCCCTGGCACATTAAACTCCAGTTGTTCCCAGTAGAACTTTAACCAGGAGGGAAGGGGATTCTCTGGAACACCGGGAACAGAAGAGGAATCCACGCCTGACACCTTCCCCCTCATCCACCCCCTTGCCAGAGCCCCACCTGGAGCTGCTCCTGCCAGGAAAGGCTCCATCCATCCATCCATCCATCCATCCATCCCTTCCAGCGTGGGTTGCCATGGCAATGCCAACTCCACATCAAACCCCCCGAGGGGACAACGGGCAGAGGCTCCAAACACCCGGGGAGCCAATCCCGGGATTCTCCTGCCTGGGAGAAAGGGCAAGGAGCGGGGAGGAGCTGCAATCCCAGCTCGTCCCCCCTCGCCCCGTGCCCCTGCCAGGAATCTGCCCTGCTCCCTGCCCAGAGCCCGGCGTGGGGTTTCAGAGAGAGCATCTGCAGAGGTGATAAATCAGCACAGGCAGCGCCCGGCCCCGGCTCAGCCTCCTGGCACCTGCTCCCGGAGCAGCCAGAGCCACCGGCAGCATCCCGAGCACTCGGGGACACGGGAGCTGCCGCTGGCACTGCCAGGAGAGGCGGCAGCTCGGGGTGAAAGAGCTGCGGCTGGCATCCCTACACCTGGATGGGGCAGAGGGAACTTAAAAATATCCCCAGGGGAGAGGCAGAGCAGCCCTACAACTGACCCCAGGAGCTGGGAGCGCGGAGACACCCCACACGGGGCTCTGGGGATGCTCCTGGTGCCAAATTGTCCCAGCTTTGGATGCCCAGGAGGCAAAGGGGAGCTGCAGGGATGTGCCAGCCCGGGGTGACACCCCCAGATGGGTGCCAGCGTCCCCCCCGGGCACAGGACAGGGCACGGATCCCTCCTGGGCTCCCCGTTCCTGCAGGGAGCAGCCCCACAGGCCTTGTTCAGCATCCGAAAAAACCCTGCAGGGGCACCCCAAAAAAACCACCAAACCTGCAGAGAAAAATCCCAGAACACCCTGCACAGGAACAACCCAAAAAATATCCCAAACCTGCAGAGAACAACCCCAAAAATACCCCAAACCTGCAGAGAACACACCAAAACAGCCTGCACAGGAACAATCCAAAAAATATCCCAAACCTGCAGAGAACAACCCCAAAAATACCCCAAACCTGTCGAAAACACACCAAAACACCCTGCACAGGAACAACCCCAAAAATACCCCAAACCTGCAGAGAACAACCCCAAAAAAACTACCAAACCTGCAGAGAACAACCCCAAAAATACCCCAAACCTGCAGAGAACACACCAAAACACCCTGCACAGGAACAACCCCAAAAATATCCCAAACCTGCAGAGAACAACCCCAAAAATACCCCAAACCTGCAGAGAACACACCAAAAATACCCCAAACCTGCAGAGAACAACCCCAAACCTGCAGAGAACACACCAAAACAGCCTGCACAGGAACAACCCAAAACACCCTGCACAGGAACAACCCCAAAACAAGCAACAACCCCAAAACATCCTGCACAGGATCAACCCCAAAACACACTGCACACAACCAATCCCAAAACAAAGAACAACCCCAAAACACCCTGCACACAACAACCCCCAAAACACCCTGCAGAGGCACAATCCCAAAAAAAAACCCCAAACCTGCAGAGAACAACCCCAAAAACACCCCAAACCTGCACACAACAACCCCAAAACACCCTGCACACATCCCACACCCCTCAATCTGTCCCCCAGATGGAAAACATTCTCCATGGGGAAGGGAACCCCAGCAGGCCCCGGGACAGATTTTGGGGCACACCAGCCCCAGGCCCAGCCTGCCCTCGCTGCTGGGTGCACGCAGCAGGGTGCAGGATGGGGAGAAGGGGCTGAACGCTGCAAAACACCCCAAAACCATCCTCACTTCTATCCAGAGGGGACACCAGGATTATCCAAGGCCCCACACAGGCACCCCGGCGACCCCAGAGCGCCGTCCAAACTCTCCTGCAGCTCCGGCAGCCTCGGGAACGAGAGCATTCCACGGGAAAGAACAAATTCATCCACAAACCCTGAGGTGGGGCTGCAGGACCACGGCACCAGCAGCACCCCAAGCCCACGGCCCAGCTCCTGGGGTG